ACATAATATACATTATTCTGTGTTTGTGTGTGTGTGTGTGTGTGTGTGTACAGTATACATACGTAGGCTACATACATATAATCATCAAATAAAATAATGCATCCATTGTTTTCTGTAATGTATTTTTATTTATTTTATTTACAATGGAAAACAAAAAAGCATTATATTTTTATTAATAATAATTCAATAAAAATAAAATATTATATATAATATTTTGTTGTTATTATAATTCTCAAATAAAAAATAATGCATCTTATGTTTTATATTGTTGTATAAAGAAATACATTTAAATAATAACTGCATTTTTATTTTATTTTTATTTATTTATTATTATTAATAATAATAATAATAATAATAATAAGAGTAGTAGTAGTAGTAGTAGTTTTGTAATAGCATTTACTCCAATGTTGTTTTGGATCTAAATGGTTGTAAATTTAATTTCTTTTATCTTTTAACATTTAAGGTTAAAATGCTATGCGCTTAGTGCTGATTAAAAATAATGTTTTTTTTTTTTAAAGCTTTTTTAATGAGTAAAGTTATACATTCATGTTAAGGAAACCCCATCTATTTTTGGAAATAGTGTGTAATGTAAATCATGATAACTATTTTGCATTTATTCACATGGAAGCAAATAAATGGGTGTCTTACTGGCATGACTGAACGAAGACAATCCACTTTTACAGGCCTGTGAGCTCAGAATCCACCCACAACATCCTCACAGTAAAAGCCACAATTTACGAGGAAAACAAATGCAGTTGGAGGGCGTAGTCGACTGTGCGCCTGTGCACGACCAGAGTCCTCTGCCTGGAATGAGCCCTAATTTGATTATGAAGGCGGGTGAAATGAGAGAGAGTGTTGTGCTGAAAGAATAATCTCCATTTTAAACAAACAAACAAACAAACACTGTACAAGATATATCCCTAAATCATTTTAATGCTCCAGTATTATGTTGCCCTCTTTTTTGAGCTATTATTGAACGGCCACTGGTCACCTTTGTTATTACAGACACAAGTGTGCTCACTGCTGACACACACCGCCTTCACCATAGTGGTCGTGTTAGGGGAGGTCTGGAAATTAGAGGATTGTGCAATTAAGTGAAAACACATGCACTATGGTTTGTTTTTTGGTGTAAACACACCCTGCTCATGTATTTAGCATAAACAGCTATGAGAAGCAAATTCTGGATCAGTGTTTAAACGAAAGGCTGCACGTGTATATTCTGAATGCTACTGTGTGTTCGTGTTGAGAGAATGAGATTTGACTTTGAGGAACAAAGTCAAGCGTCTTTAAGGATGCCTATACTGGTCTTTCAACCAGTTTTAAGATAAGTAAGATGAAATAGTGTTCGGTGTACACTGCACTGACCGGATCAATGCGGACTTAGAGAAACATTGTTCTCTGTCTAATGAATGTCATGTATGAAATCCAGATTTGGTGAAACATCTAGCATGTGATCCTGCGCCAGCAAACCTAGAACACACACCATCCACAAGTCAGATGTTAAGCTTGTAGACAAAAGACTCTTTGTCACTCGGTCTCTTATCTAATCATTTTGTTATGTAGATATGAACAAACAATACAATCCCTTGCTTAAGAGTAGACAGCATGACAAGGTGACAGCTTCAAAATGCACACATTATTTCACAACCTCTCAAAAGATACCTCATAATGCTCATACTTTTGAATCATTACACAATTTTGTTCCTAAAACTCCTAGAATCATATTTTAAGTCTTATTTTGTCATTGAATGCATAGATAGCATTATTTGTTCACTTCAGTTAAATAGACTGAAATATATTTGACATGATTTTCTGAAATACTTTTCAGCGGTGTGATGATGCATCGTCACTCATGTCGACCATTCATCCAGTTAAATGAAACCGGCACTACTTTGATGTCTCTCGTTTCACACTCATTCTCTCA